TGCCAATTTTTCCTTTTGGCGACTCATTTATGTTGCGGGGTATATGGGCACACAGTCTAATGAATGATGATATGGTGATCCAAGTACTTCACAATTTGGAGTTCACATATTCACCTCCATTATCACTGTGGAGCACCTGTATCTGAGTCTTAAACTGAACAGTAACCACTTTATGAAATTTCTAAAATTACGAATTCACTTCACTTTTCGATTTCATGGGCATAACCAAGGCATTTAGGTGTAATCAGACTTATCTTTTTCATCCGAGCTTGGATTGGGCCAAATCACATGTGGTTGGAAAGAAGACATTCTGAACTTCAAGATGGACAGCTCAAGGTCATCAATTGATCAAGCCAAGTCCAATCCGTGAGCCCATCAAAATACACATCATGCTGACAGGAGGATGACCTAATTGTTTCTTGGTCATGATGAGCTATGGTTTCTGGTGGGATTAGTTGGTGAAGTGCAGCAGCCATACAAGAAAAGAATCTGATTTTCAATTGCAAGTGCTGTAGGCATTAGCCATATTCAATTCTAATTTCTCACTTCCCTCTCCCTATAAATACAAATTCAATTCCACATTCAAGGTGTGCAAAATCCTGGGATTCACAACCCCACAATTCATTCCATCCATCCTCTACACTCCCATCATTCCTTAAACATATTCAGAAATCATCCTCAAACATCTCCACAACCCCAAACATTCCAGCAATCAACCTAACACTCTAAACAGCCTTAAATCGCCTAAACAACTCTAGCAAGTCTTCCTTCCATTTCCCTATGAATTTCCTCTTTCTCTGCCATCACCACTCACCCAAACTCATCCCAAATCACCTCCTTAGCTATCATACATCCTTGTAGACGTGAGGAAGCTCTTGGAGAAGCATTAGACGTGGAGAAGCACTTGGAGAAGCCTTGGACACCACAAAAACTTCAAAAAAAAAAGGTTTTTCTACTCTTATTGCGTTCATTATGTTTTCTCATTTATGTTTAAGTTTCATTCCCATTATGAGTAGCTAAATCCATAACTAGGGCTTCGATGTAACCTAACATGAATATTCTGGGTTTATAAATTTCAAGTTTCAAGTTTGATTCAAGATTCATATTCTTATTCATTATGCCTACCTGCCTATATGCTAATCAGAATGCCTAGCTACCATTCAGATTTGTGTATCTTAGTTTGAATTAAGAGTAGACACCATGCTTTAATTTGAATTGAACTATGAATAGGAAGAGTATGTATGGACATTCGACAACAGGGATTAGATATATGCTTGGTTGTTTAAAATGTTCTTCTATGCTTAATGGATTCCTAATGCTTAATTTTAGGTTAGACAACAAATGATCAAATTAGGGAATTCGGAATACAAGGTTAGGACCAGACACCATGGCTTAATCATACTTTAGCTAGAATAAATTTTTGAATCTGAATTAGACTTGTCACTTGAATCCTTATAACCCAGAATTGAATTGTTATGGTGAATTGAATGCCCTAGTCTCCAAATCTGTTTTCTAGCCCTTAAGACCACTCTTTGTTGCACTTGTTTACTTGCTTTCATTTTGCTTCATTTGTTCAACAATCACAATCACTCTTGCTTTAAATTCTATTTTAGACTTAATCTCCTACTTTTTTGAATTCGGTAATCTAAGTACATAACTAAGTTGAACTTCTCAGTCCTTATGGGTACGAACTTGAATCAGAAATGTAATGTGGGGACTTAGTCCTCTTATTCACATACAGAAATCTTGGTTCATAGAAAATTTATTTGCATCAAATTTATGTGGATCATGACTATCTTTCCTAAGTCTGGTTCATAGTCCAAAAGACACCAGTCTTGATGCATTGAATTTCACTTTTCCTTGGGACTTTCCATATTTTGAAATATGTGGGGGATTGTTGGTTTTTTTATTTTTATTTTAATCTTAATGAGTATTTCAAAATATGTACCAACTATTTTAGAATTCAAAATCAACTTTAATGTTTGAATGTTAGCTAATTTAATTAATTGCTTTCTTCAATTTGAATCTTTATTCTGATTGTTGATGACGTTCAAGTTGGTTTAATTGTGAAAAATACTGTAGACCCACTCAAATATCATTTACTTGTTTGTTTATTTAGAGCATTAAATTCTATACAAATTTATAAATAAACCCAATCCTAGACTTGTATTTATAAAAAAACCCAAGCACTATTTAAACATAGACTTTGGCTATCTTTGTTTTTAACGTAGACTTTGCCTTCAATTTATTTGATTCCTACAGGGAAAGCTTTTGCTTATATGACCACTTTGATTTGCTGAAGGTCTTGACTACATAACTGTTTGTGTTTATATATATTTAATGGTCTATTGGTATCAGTATTCAATTTCTAAACTGCGCCACCATTACTTATCAAATGGTAAAATTTTGTCTTTAATAACCAGCGTCTCTTTGGGGTCAACAACTTCTATATAGCTTGGGCTATTTTGGCTATACAGATATCTTAATTCGAGCATTTTCTCTCAATTTCTGTCCTCCCACATTATTTCCTTTCCTCACAATTTTCATACAGTTTTGTATTGTGTAAATTTTATTTTACTTCCCAAGAAAAAGATTCAAGTGTTCATTCGATCCAAGTATTGCGAGTGTACGTTTAAAAGGATCAAAGGTTATTGTATCCTGGAGGATAGGACGTCATAATCTGCTACATCAAGATATTATCTCAGAAGGGCGGATCTACTCTTAAGCACAATGACTTACACGCCTCAACCTACTGTTCGTGATCAAAGGAGGGCATCCACAACCAAGATTTTCCCAACACTCTCTAGGCTTGGGAACCAAAAATATATTAAGCTCTTGCCTCTTCTTTTGTATTATTATTTAAATCTGTTGTATATATGCTCATGTTGTAGGTTAAGAAGGTTAACAAAATGAGGCTCGTTAAGTACATTGAAGCAATGAGTGGTTTGAAGGTTTGGTCACAAGTTCTTAGAACTTCTATCCTATTCATATTTTCTCTTTTGTCTTGAAGGTATGTCTAATAGATTACACTGAAATTTATCAGTTTCAACTACAGGTTAGTTTAGATGCAATATTTGATGCGTACACAAAGGGAATACACGAGTACGAAAGGCAGCTACTTAATATACTTGGCATTATCCATGGATATGATTGTGTCGAGGTGGATATGATTGTGTCGAGGTGAATATGATTTTATATGGTGAAAAACTTTGCATTCCATATTTTTGTAACTTATTAACAAAGAACTACCTTATACCTTCTAAAGGGAGCTATCACCATCCTCCAACATTGTGCATACCTAGTTTATCTTCTTGTCACGGTAATCTAAGAAGTTGTTGGATAGTACTTTGTTGATTTTTCAATGAGATATGATGTGCAGTTGGAGCTTTGTTCTCATGTTTTTTTGTTTGTTTTGTATTTTAGCCCTTAACCCTAAAATAATATGACAAAATTGTATATTTAAAGAGTATAGCCGCGCGGCTATACTTTCTAAATAGATTCAAATATTTTAAGAGTATAGCCGTGCGGCGCTACTCTTCAAATATATTCAAGACGAGCATGAAGCTTGCACTCGCAAAGGACGGAATTTGCTCTCGCAGCCACTGCTTCGTCCTCCGGGTTCGGCACCGGAAAAAGACCCAACCCGCCTAGCCGCCTAGAGACCGCCTAGCCGCCCAGAGCCCGCCTAGCGACCGCCTAGCGGCCTAGCGACCGCCTAGCCGCCTAGCCGCCTAGCGACCGCCTAGCCGCCTAACGACCGCCTAGCCGCCTAGCGCGCGTTCTTGAAGGGTTCAACGACAATTCACAAGATGCACATTCTTGAAGGTAATATTGGATATCCCACACTCGTAGTAGTAGTTCAGAACTTCAGATAGGTTGATATATAGTCAATATAATATTCTGACCATCTGTGAACTGTCGCGGGAATTTAAATCCCGTCAGCACTGACAGCATCAAGTCTTTTCGACAATTGACCTATTTTGCTTTTTACAAAATATAATCTCACATTAACTCAACAAATCTGATGTTTTGCAGTTCATAAACAACCTTGCAGTTCCTATTTCTATCGAGCTTTTCATCAGTTCAAGAGTGTCTTTGCAGAATTTAAAAGGTCTCACAGGTATGTATCAAAAGTCCTTTGTTAATTGGTCTGTAACCGCTGTTGGAGAAGGAAAATATTTCTTGAATGTTCTTAGGAGGACACTGAGGCCACTCCTATGATTCATCTTTATAGTTTTCTGCCATTAAGTCTGCTGTTGTTTATATTTGCCTATCTCTTTACTTTTATAGAATAGTTTCCAAATTTTGGTGGTTGGTTTTCTAATTTCCAAGAACTCTGAAGGCACGTGTAACTATATCACTTCAATCTTGAAGAGCCACAAATCGTTGCAAAACTTAAACATGTAACGGATTGTCTCTTCCTACCTCCAAAATTATTAGTTGTAAAACACTGAGAATTACATGACAGATGCTTGTATTACCCTAAATAATCTCATTTAGCAGGTTTTCTTACCATGAATGCATATGCTATATTGTTGAGGACTGCACCATTATGTGCAATCACAACCGCCCAGGCCAATTTTCTTTATGCAGTTACAACATTTCATCAAAGAAAAACTGGAAAAGAATGAATTCAAAGCGGCTCTTGCAAATGAGGAATTAGTTTTCTTTATGGTATGTAGTCAATTTTCTTTCTTTTTAATTATTTCTGTACTCTTTTCTGCTGCAACTTTTTCTCAAGAAATATGTCCCATTTAAGTATTTTCTTGTGGTATTGTCCTTAATAAGAGTTGCTCTCATCAAAACTCACTAGCTGAAAGCGTCACAAGTTTTCTTTTGCTGTAACTTCTGCAAGATGGAATCTGTGTATTCACTATTTCAAGATTTTAGATTGGTATATAGTATATACATTTTTGTAGTATAGCAATGATAATTCTCTTAGAATTTGCTTTCTCCAGTTTTTGTTTAGGGCAAAGATTCATGAAGTTCCCAAATTGCGTGAGGAAGGATCTCCTAAAATACCACTGCAATGTGCACGTGTTAGAAGGTACGCAATTACAATTCACTTCAATCATACTCACTTAGCCAGTTAGTGATTGAGCTGACCAATCTAGAATTTTCAGATTCTTTAGAGGGCATGTGTTTGGTGTCGTTTTTGACCATTGTGTGATGTTCTGAGCGAACTGTTTCCTCAGGTTCTAATTCTGCTGTGATATTTATTATGTGTAGGATGGTCCGAGATGGCTATTTCGGCTTTAAAGACTATTTTCAATCTCTATGTCATACTGTGGACGGTGGTAAAGACTTATATTTTCTTGGTTCTGATTTTGAGAGCTATTTAGAGGCTCAGTCAGGTAATCATTTCTGTTTACTTGTTAGTCCTAACCCAAAGCATATATATGCAGTTGGAAGTATGATGTTGTATAACTTACTATGGTGCATGGGATTTGAATCTATATGACTACAGGCTGTTGTTGATAAAGCATTTGCGGATCCAAATAAGTGGACTCAGATGAGCATCCTTAGCACAGCCGGGTCAGGGATATTTAGCAGTGATAGAACATTCCAAGACTACGCGGAGAAGACTTGGGGAATTGAACCGTGCAGATTCCCTTCTGATGGCTAGCTCACCCTCACCCTCACCCTCATACACACCCACACCCCAGTAGCAACATTTTACAGATTTGAATGGAATGTATCGGAAAGAATTTAAATTCTCATTCCCCAACGTTGCTTGTATAAATAAAATAATTGAAGAAATAATTGTAGCCCAATGGGCTAAAGTGGTATTTTAGCCCTAAACCCTTCAATGATATGACAAAATTGTATGGTTAAAGAGTATAGCTGCCATGTATAGCCGTTCGGCTGCTCTCTTTAAATGTTTGTGTATTCGAATATTCTAAAAGTATAGCCGTGCGGCTATACGCTTTCAATATATTCAACACTAAGCTTGCACTTGCAGTCACAGCCATTCCACCTCTCTATCAACTCAACCTTCGATTTGTTTCCCTCGGTTTCGGTTGCTTCGTCCTCCAGGTTCGGTACCAAAAAATGAGTCAACCCCGCTAGTAGCCTAGGCCGATTTTTCAAACACTGTGATTGATTGAAAGTCTGAAACCCAAAATTGAAAAAATTTTGCTGCAAATTTGAGCTTGAGATTGAAATTGGGAAGCACAAGTCAATTCCATAGAAGAAGAGATCTCATGCCTCTAATTCCATTCCCCTCCATGCTTCCTGCCTTATTCTCTTCTCTCTTGGCTCTGTCCCAAACGACATGTTCACCTCACCACACCAACGACAACGATGACAATTCCTCCCCTCTGCCAACTCCGCATGAAACTTGATTAATCTTTATGCATTCAATATTCATCCATTGATGGTTCTTCTTGGTTGGACTGCTTTTCATTCTTTGGATATTGCATTTCTGTTATAGATTTTGACATTTGATCATGCCCTCTTGTTTGTCGAGAGAAAGGACAAAAAAAAAAGGATTTGTCTCCTCCTCCTGTTGCACATAGGAACACAAAACCAACCCACCAAAGAACAGAAAAAAAAAGAAAAAGGAAATATTATACCACCGGAACAAAATGAGAGATCAATGGTTGAGTGATAACTTGATTGTTTATATTGAGAGAGATATTTTTGCTTGAATTGAAAATGAAGCTATAATGTTACATTTTCAAAATATGAAACGTTGTCGTGGAAATTTGTAGCTTGTAATGTTGTTTCCGATATGAATTATGAATGAAACTATGATTTCATTTTCAATATTTTTTTCCATTCTAAATTTTTATTGGGACTTTTATACTAAAACCCCTTGTGATAAGATTCCTGGCTCCGCCACTGCTAAATGGCGTCTCTCAAATAAAATTATTTAAAGAATCCTTCAATAAAAGTGGATTGCACATTCTCTTCGGTATACTCTCAAATTTATTTATGCAAGTTTCTTTCCTCGTTTGGATTTGAATAATTGAAAGTTACATCTACAATGAAATCGAGGGAGAAATCATTTACTTATATAGTGTTTTTTTTTTTGGGTAAATAATTTAAAAAACAATTTTCAAACACCGAATCAAGGCTTCATATATAATTTTGACTGTCTAAAAAGAAAAGAAAAAGTTACTCTTTATATACATACAAGGCAAAATTGACCATCGCCTTCGCCCCTTACAACTTGTGTGTCTATAGAAACATCAAAATCAAGAATAGTAAAGATCATAAAACGTAAAGCAATTCAACTAATACAAGTTACAACTCAAAAGATTTGAATAGGGCTCTATTCTTTTTTCTTCAAATTCAAATATGCTTTGGGTAAAAGGCAATTATGGATCCCATTCCGATTTGTGTTTTCGAAATTACAATTCGGCGCTACCCATTAGATCTCACCAAGTCTTCTTCGGGCCCACTAACGTCAAGTCAGGTGGACCTTCCTGCAAATCTCCTTAAGATATCCTGATCGTGTAACTGTCATTTGGGTCCACTGTTTTCTGGGTCCCAGATGTCATGGACGGTCAAGATGGAGTTTGGATGCGTTCGAAAACAGGAGAGGAGCCTCTCAAAAAGTTTTCTTTTTTCTTTTTGGGTTATGTCCCTGTTTTTCTTCCTCTCTACTGTACCTCTGAAAAGCATCCATTCCTCTCTATTAAATGCCACAGCCCCTATATTCTCTCCTTCACTCCCCCAACCCCATTTCTACTCTCTCTCTCTCTCTCTCTCTCTCTCTAAAAATCAATACCTTCACACTCCAGGTGATGAGTCATATCAAATGTATACACAAATCACAAAATGTATGAGTGGTTTCTTTGGGGGTGTTTGTTGCTTAATTTATTGAAGTAGTTGCAGCTGGAAGAAGAAGTGATGAGCTTTGGAAGATTCATTCGCACTTGACAAATTGAAGGTAAGCAACAGTTCATATATATGCTTGCTTCACCAACCACCACCAACCAAAATGCACTATTTTTTCTCCAATTCTCTGTTGGTCCTTTCCTTTTTCTCTTGGGTTTTCCAAGTTTGTGTTTCAGCTTTTAAGTGATTTCATAATAATAATCCAGAATGATGAACATTGAAGCATTTGTGTTCAAAATGAGTGAGATTTTAATTTTGTGATTTTTTCTGATCTCTGTGTAAAAGCAGGGATCGATCTCAGGCTTTTGAATGCTTTTTGTGAGATGTGACTTTAAAGGAAAAAAAAAAACCCCTTCTTCATCTTTTGAGATTTGATTGTCAGTCCTAAAAGCACTCATTATAATCAGTCGCTTCAGTTTCACTTGCAAAGATCTTTTCCTTTAAAGTTCACTAAAAGGCTGTTTATCCACAAAGAAAAACAAAGTTTCATTTGAAAGTCACTCATGAGTAGAAACGTAACGTACCAATTGAACCACCAGTCAAAAATTAAAAAAAAAACCTTCTTCCCCTTTCCCGGATTTTAGGCCACTTCTAAAAAAAAATTGAAAAAATGTTTCCATTAAGAGGAGCAAAGGAAAAGAAATAAACTTGTCAGATTGCTTGGCTTCTAAACGTGTCATAGGTGCATTAGCTTGGTAGATGTGGAGTCAATAATGTTTTGCACATGCCTACCACACTGGGTTTTATATATAAAATATATGTTATGGTCTCTCTAAGCAGCTCGTGCTTAAGCGAGCGTAGTGTGTGTGTTAAATCTTAAATAACTAATTAAATATGCACATACATACATATTACACATGTTAGTGAAGTGAGCTAAAGACTCTAGGCAATAATAAAAGTTGACACTCGCAATTGGGTAATTGGCCTTTCAAAGTCATCTTGAGTCCCAGTATAAATTTAATAATGCCTATCTACCAATGTTTTTTATAATGTAATTGACGGGTGAGAGATTCAAACTTGGGTGTACCCTAGCAAACTCGCCTAACCCACTTCTGCACCTATCTAGCAATGCTTAAATTTTTTTATTTTTATAATGGGTATAATTTAGTGGATTCTAATACATTTTGTTCTTGATTGGGAATGATTGATATGTACAGAGCGTGGTGCCTCAGCTTTTATTGCTTGAGCATACTTCGGATTCGGAATCATTGTTTTGGTATTTTCAATAACAAAAAGATCAAAAGGGGATTAGCAAGGATGAGGAGAGGGCTTGCTTGTTGCACCCGGGACAGAGAGATTAGCATCGACTTTGATGAGCAAGAGAGTAAGTTTTTAAAAATATTTTAGTATTCAATATTTTATGGGAGTAGTTATTCTCCATTATTGTTATTATGATTATTCAATTGTCGCCGTGATTTAAGATATATAGTCACTTTAGTAGGCAGTATGTGACAAACAAATTGTGCAATTTTGGAAATTTTTAGGCTTTTATTTGTCATGTCTAATGTACCTACTTCCTACCACATGGGTGCAGACTGTATATTTTGTTTTTTTAGTTTTTATTTTGGTGAATTGAAAAGCTGGGTTTTGCGTAACGGCCCGGGAATGAGTGGCCCCAACCAGTTGTGTACTGCATTTATATTTCTGAGTAGCAAAATTTATGGTACCATTGGTAGACTTTAATGTTCTTGTCTCCTGGAAGTGAAGACCAAATGCATTTTCACTATTCATTTTTGTTTTTTTTGTTTTTTGTTTTTTTTTTCTGAACACTATTCATGTATTTTTAGTTTATTTCTTTGGTATTCTTTGATGTCAATTTTTGAAGGAGTAACATAAATGTGGTCTTCTCAGCATTTTCCTATTTTTTTTAATTGTCGCATTTCTCTTTGCAATTCCAGCAGAGGTACCAACAATATATATATATATTTTCTTAGGGACAAAAATAAGGTTTTACCTTGTAAAAAATTGATATCCATATGCTGCCCAAAAGAAGATATCAACATGTCATTCTCATGTTTTGAAATCCATTTGAATCTTGAAATTTGAAGGCCAGCAGTAGGTAATGATAGTTAATGTTAGGATCATGTTAAGAGCAGGTAGCTATAAAAAATTAAAGATGATATATCAATGTCTGTATTTTCATGGCAAAAGGTACTGTAAGTGGGCCTGCTTATGGGTTTACGTATTTTCATACATGCAAACTACATGGGGCTCTTTGTCCCATACTTCGAACCTTTTGGCTTTGTTTTAGCATGGAAAGAATCTTCTTTGTTTCTTTTTATCTTTCTTTTTTGTGTGTTTAAAATGAGATAGAGATATCATAACTGAAGTGACTGTGATTTATCAATAGGACCCCAAAATTTCATGACTCTAATTATTTGATTGAAATGGGTGGACCCAGCAATATATGGTAGTGTCCACTGAATGAGACAATGACTTAAGTAATTGGGACACACAAAAGTCGTTGTCTTTGTGTGCATGACTTTTCATCTGAAAAGTTTAATGCAATATTTGGTAGGGATTTTATTTCCTCCGTTGATCAATGATCTACTTCCAGGTTTTATATGTATTCTTTCATTGTGTTTTTATTATGAAAACCATCGCAGGTTAGAATCTTAACCACCACCACACTATGGTTAAGAGAAACGTACTGATAGATAAATTATAATTACCATCTTAAGCAGGCCATGTTTTCATTAACCTGGCTGTTCAGAAAAGAATATTTTCAAGCCAAAGAGCACCAATCAATCTATTTTGGATGGTTCTGGGAAGGTTCCTTGCTGCTATGCTCCAATTTGTATGAGTTGGGAAGTTTCTACCTTGAATTAGAATCTTTGTTCTTATTAAAATTTGAACAATGATCAAAGGTAGATTCCTTTGTCTTCTCTTCCAAATTGTACCTAATTCCTGTGGTGGATTCACTAAGGGGCAAAAGGGGTCAAGTGACCCCACAAATTTAATTGCATTTCCATACATTTTAGGTGTTTGCCCTTTGATTTTTTGGTTTTGTTACTTAAGAGTTGGGGGAAGTTGTTTGACAAAATGCCTTAAAGTGGCAACTAAATTTCCTAAAGAGTAAATCAATGGATGAATGATAGGCCACTGCAGTTAACCTGCATGAGGACTGAGAGCTTCTTAATCTCGCCTCCGTGAGGAAAATTCCTGGATCCACTACTCTCTCTGATGGGAAGTAACTCAACAATAGGCTACCAGACTGGACAGACAAATAGTTTCTAAGGAATTATTACTGAATAGGCTTGGGATCTGGATATTTTTGCACGCCCATTTAAACATACCGATGGAACATTTAAGGAATGGTTTCTGAATTATGGTTTCAAACAGGGGAAAAGAAAGAGTTGCATCTGGATTGAAGTTTACCTGACATAATTCGTCATATCTGTCTGCTGCTTAGAACATTACATTGCACAAAAGATTTGAGGATTAGTTAGAGACAATTCCTATTTTAAAAAGAGCAAGAAGTCATCATGCTTCCATTTTTCTTATGGAACCTGCATTATCATAGCTTATGTAATGACTAAACTCATATCATAGCTTCTTCGTTACCAAACTTGTAGCTGACATTTTGCTTCTTTTTTTCTGCTCAAAGGCTATGTTTTCGTTGTACTAAGAAAAAAATTCAAGCATATTACTCCAATTTCATGTGTCTTTATATCCTCTTCTACTGTTTAGTTGCACGTCTCTGATGAGATGAAACTTGAACTTTTCAGGGATAATGACATACAATGGACTTGAAAATTGCATTCTCAATGGCCAATCTCTCGAAAATGAAAGCACAACAAGCAGAGGAGATGGGTTTGCAACTGACTCACTGGATGATGATGCTTCAACCTGTTCTTCAGGGAAAGATGCTTTTGGATCATTCTCTTCAAAATGGTTGACAGTGAACAGAGATGAACAAAGACTGGATGAATGGGAGCCCTTAGACAGCCCCAACCATTTCTATGTCAAAGAAAAACCATCTTATGTTCTTCAGAATTCAGACGTGGAGGAAATGAAAGAAAAATTTTCAAAGCTGTTATTAGGCGAAGATGTCACAGGAGGATACAAGGGCCTCAGCACAGCAGTAGCACTGTCAAATGCCATCACAAATCTAGCAGGTTTGCTTTATATTTGCTTCTCTCACCAGCCGAAAAAGGGATCTTCGTAACCATTATATGTTTTCCCATGATTTTGTACTGGTGTAGAAAGAAAATGGTAGAATACTCAGTAGGACATATTACGATACAATATTGTCTATTCATGTGGCTCATGAGATTGACATTCATTAAGAACAACCAACATACTCATCAAAATTATTGGCATAAATTGTCTTCATAATTGATACAGAATGTTTTCATCACATTGATATGGGCATAAAATTGCACTTGCAGCAACGGTTTTTGGAGAGCTGTGGAAACTGGAACCACTACCTGAAGAGAGAAAAAGCAAATGGCGAAGAGAAATGGACTGGTTTCTCTCCCCTACGAACTATATGGTTGAGCTGGTTCCTGCTAAGCAAAATGGTGCAAATGGTCGGATGTTAGAGGTACCTTTCAGTTCAGTTGTGTTTATGTTGAGTCGTCACATGTAATACAGGATGATGAGATTTGTGACTGATTCTTATTTCTGCAGATTATGACCCCAAAAGCCCGTGCAGACATACACATGAATCTTCCAGCTCTTCAGAAGTTGGACTCCATGCTTATTGTAGGTGGTCTCTTCATTGCCAACAATATCCATGGAATGGAACTTTACTTCTATTTTTTAAATGTTTTTTTTCACTTTAACTACTAACTTGTGTTCCCCTTGTTAATCTTCAATTTTTCAGGAGACACTTGAGTCAATGGTCAATACTGAGTTTTGGTATGCAGAAGGTGGTAGCCGGGCAGAAGGAAGGACCAAAGTTTCACGTCAGAGCAAGAGATGGTGGCTTCCAGTACCCCATGTACAAGCTACTGGGCTGTCTGATGCAGCAAAACAGAAATTGCTTAATCAGGGTAGGGTGGTTCATCAAGTATTCAAGGCTGCCAGATCCATCAATGAAAGTGTTCTGCTTGAAATGCCTGTGCCAACTGTTGTCAGGGATGCACTTCCGAAGGTAATGAAGCTTTTTTTGAATCAGAGCATTCTTAATTACTTACAACATATCAAATTTTTTAATTTGGGAAAATCAAAAGCTAATCCGAGTAAAAATCATCATGTGCTTGATAATTATACATATTATGCTCTTCTGATCATTGTGAAGATCAATTCAGTATGGGCTGGTTTTAGTTTAACTCATACATATGAAGGCATTGAGTCAACATATTGCTAAGCTTTGGTGCAGAGTAGTTCCCATCTCAACTTCTAAAACAAACTCTATATTGTTCTTTTCCTATAAAGGATGGTGATTAAACAGTAGATTAACTAGCAGGATGAACTATAGCTTGTTCCACAAAGTAACTTTAAAGAAAAAAGAAGCAGATTCCTCCTTTCTGACTGAGTAGACCTTGTTGAGTTGGTCATAATTATATTTCTTTTCATGTATTAAGTCTGGAAAAGCAAGCCTTGGTGAGGAACTATACAAGGTCTTAACTGCAGAAACAAACTCAGCTGAGGAAATGGTCAATTCACTTAACCTAAAATCTGAACACAATGCCCTTGAGGTCATTAACAGGCTGGAAGCTGCTGTATTTTCTTGGAAAGAAAGAATTACAGAACAAGTTAGTGGTAGATCTCCTGTTCGAACATCTTGGTCCTTCATTAAGGACCCGTTGTCTGAGATTGATAAGACGGAGTCACTATTGGACCGAGCAGAAGTACTTTTACAACAGCTGAAAACCAGATATCCCAACCTTCCCCAAACTTTTCTTGATGTTACAAAAATCCAATATGGCAAGGTAAGCTTCATAACTATCCATTAGATAAAAGCTTGACTATCTGATTGGAAAATCAACATTGATCATCATGTTGCATTATCATAAACTTGCAGAAGCATGATAAATTTTGGTCACCTTCCTAATTTCTACAGGATGTTGGGCATTCAATTATGGAAGCATATTCTCGAGTACTTGGAAACTTGGCTTTCAGCATACTGTCTAGAGTAGGAGATGTTTTGCAAGAAGATGCTTTGAACAATCCCAATTCATTTACAGCATCAAGTTACTTTCCATGGATTAATATCAGCCATAACTCTTCAATGGCTGGCCAAAACATTAGATACTCATTCATTGATGGGAACAAGGGGGATCGCCGACATTCTGATTCGACTTTGAGTAGTATTTCATACAGTGTGGCTAAAGACAGCCCTGTGACGGCAACACCAAGTCGAGCACGGGTATGGTGCATTGGTAGAGAGGCTTGTGTGAGTGTTTCCCCTACAAACTCCCCTTGATGAGAAAAGTATGGTCTGAAGCAACTCTTATTGTAAATGATTATCATATATGCTTTAAATAAAGAGTTGTTAAGGTGATAAATTAATTTATCAAGGTTCAGAATTATGGTTACTGATGTTTGTTGTGGCACTGGCAAAGTATCACCCCACCAAGTGCCTTCTCAAAAATAATAGTTTGTTGGACGAACAGGGCACGGTGTATTTGCAATTTTAAAGGTTGTTTTAACTCTGCCAATTTTAAAAGATTGGAACCAAACTGTTACAGGCCCCAAAAGCCATGGAGATGCAAAGTGTAATTGAGCCACAAAAATGCATTGGATACAATCAAAGGGCCATTAAACCTGAGGGGTGCATCTGTTTAAGTTGCTACTGTTTATTATTATTATTTTCGAACTCGGATACCAAATGAGGAGCACATCTGCTTTGATCAACTTGACTAAGTACATATCTGCAAGTTAATATTGTTTATAAGGTACCATTAGTGATCCAAATTGGAGGTTGCCAGTGATTTTTTTGGTCACCATGGTGGCTGCGGGTTCTTGATCTTTTTTCTTTCTCAGTTGTATTTATGAATTTAACCCGTATTATTTCTTATAAATAAAATTCATATTTTATTCATGCCTAATGGACTAGTAGCTGAAAATCATTAAAATGAGAGGTATTGGAAAGGATTTAAATTCTCATTCCCCAACATCACCATAAAATAATTGAAGAAATAACTCCATCCTAATTTGCAAAAGTGGTATTTTAGCCCTAAACCCTAAAATAACATGACAAAATTGTTTATTTTCGGCTATACTATTTACGGTACAGCGATGCGGCTTCACTCTTTGAATACATCCGAATATTTTAAAGGTATAGCCATTTGGCTATACTCTTTAAGTTCATTCGAAACGAACACGGAGCTTGCACTCGCAGTCGCACAGCCATTTCGCTTACAAACTTCACAGAGCCTCTCTCTCTCTCTCTCTCTCTCAACTCCAGCTTTGATTTTTTTTTCTTTCGTTTCGGCTGCTGCGTTGATTGGATTGGATTGGACTCTCTCTATGAAAACCATCAAATGTCATCCAGCTATTGAAATCTCCACTAAGATAACAACTTTGATGCTATAAGGGAGCTAGGCGGCTCCTAGGCGTCCTGGGCCGATCTAGGCAGCGCCTAGGCGTCCTGGGCGGATCTAGGCGGCTCCTAGGCGGCCTGGGGTGATCTAGGCGGCGCCTAGGCGGGCTGGGCGGGTCTAGGCGGCGCCTAGGCGGCCTGGGCAGGTATTCTTGCATGCATCCTCTGCAAATGGTCGTGCAGGTATTCTTCTTAGTAGTTAGAATTCTGACTTCTTAGTGGTAGTACTTGCGTAGAATAAAAGACGAGTGCTTATGCGAATTGGGCATTCTGCCTTGTTTATATTATTACATTCTACATCCAGCAGATGAGTTGATTAGTTAGAGAAATATATATATTTTTGTCTGTAAGGACAATATGCAGCACTTGCACTTTAATGGTACGCTAATTGTTTCTGAAAAAGGCGCAGCTTTGATTTATCGAATTATTTATTTTTAACAATTACTCTTTGACTCGGATGATTTGTTCCTTAAGAAAGTAGAGTTTTCACCTCCTGGCCTCTTCTCACATCTTTTGGGTTCTTTTCAGGGTTTATGGTTTGATGGGGATACTTCCTTATGGATGATGCGATGCATGAATGTTGAACTTGCTGACTCGATAAGAAAAAGAGGAGTATTTAGCGTGCAGCAACTATTGTATCTCCCCAAGGCAACTTTGCAGACCATGATTGGAAAATTTCCTGCTTCAAAATTGTATTTGGGCTGGGTAGGTTATTGAAATACGAGTCAGTTATTGGCTTTCAGGCATGTTAACTGATTTCGGTAGCTTTGCATCCAGAATATTTTGTTCTTCTAAGATCTGCACCCTTTTCCACGCATCGAACTGAAATTAAAACTTCAGCGGAAAGTCTCGGTCTTTAGAAATCACACTGGTGAACACCAATTTCGGGCAAGTAAGTGGAACACCTCAACATGGGAATTATATGCTCTCATAAGAGAGTATCTTTCTCTGATCACTTGGTTATTCACATGGAGTTACCATCAGCTATGGACAAGAAAATGGAAGGCGGCTGAAGATAAAGCAAGGGCTACACTGTTTGGATATTATGGTACATAATTGAGATTTCATTTGGATTTATAGGTTTTGCTTTCTGCTATATCCAATGGGGGGAAAGACAAACACTATACTGAATATTTTGCAGGTCTTAATTTGGCTGTGCATACATTTCCTCCTATTGCTTTGGCTATTATTCGATCATTCTACTTGAATTTGAAGCCAAGGGAATCAATAAGAAGGTAGTGCATGTTATTATGTCATTGGGTTATGATCACTCAAGATGCCAATTTAACTTCTACTTGTGTGCTTTAATTTTGATAGCAGAAAAGGGAGGAAATTGACTGCTGGCTTCTCAAATCCATTGGTTGTGAACACCCTTCTGGGTGTTTTGTCCACTCTAGAAATACTAGCAGTCTTCCTCTTTATCCTGTTCTTAGCTTGGAATTTTTATGCACACATCTCAAATGATTTCAAGAACTTGAAGCCTGCTAAATCACTAATGCTGAATTCGTGAGTTCTATATCCGAAAGTTTTCTATTTTGAACATTTAGAAACAAGAACTTCATCATGATTGATGCTTAAACCGTATCTCAGATGGCAACTCAAGTACCTAAAGGTGGAAACTCGGTTTGGTTTGCTAGCAGAAGTCTGCCTGGCTTTTCTTCTTTTCCCTATATTAAGAGGTCTGGGCTTATTTCGGTTGCTTGGCATCCAGTTTGAAGCTTCTGTAAGATACCATATATGGCTTGGGACTGCAATGATATTTTTTGCCACGTTCCATGGTGCAAGCACTTTGTTCATTTGTGGGGTCGGCCACTTTATCCAGGAGGAGGTAAATCCTAGTCCTTTTTCATTTGGATCATTTCAATCATTTGGTTTTCTGTTCGGTGTTAACTCTGCTGTATTATTTTGGTATTGGCATTATTTAGTTTTGCTGATCTTTTTGGTGCAATTCATTCAATCACAGATATGGGAATGGCAGAAAACCGGGCGGATATACCTTGCTGGGGAGATCTGTCTGGTCACAGGGTCAGTGATTTGGATCACTACATCACTTCCTCAAATAAGGAGAAAACAGTTTGAAATATTTTACTACACACACCATCTCTACATGGTTTTTCTGGTATTCTTCTTGTTTCATGCTGGAGACCGTCACTTCTACATGGTTTTCCCTGGAATTTTTCTGTTTGGCCTTGACAAGTTCCTTCTGATCATACAATCTAGACCCGAAACATGCATTCTTTCGGCACGAATCTTCCCCTCCAAAGCTATAGAGCTTATTCTACCAAAAGATCCAGGTAATTTTTCTAGACCTTGTTTACTAACCAGAAGTTTTCTAAAATTGGAGAAATCATATTTCACATTCCACTAATTGCAGGGCCCAAGTATAGACCAACCGGCATTATATTTGTGAAGGTACCAAGTATATCCAAATATGAGTGGCATTCATTTAGCATTACTTCCAGCTCTAGGTTTGATGACAACACAATATCTATAATGATCAAATCCGAAGGATCGTGGACAAGTTCTCTCTCCCATATGATCCAAACTAGGCAAGAGTCAGATGGCAATCAAACGAAGTACATACCTATTGCAGTAGAAGGCCCTTATGGATCTGTCTCTATGGACTTCCTAAGGTGCATAAAAAGTTAACTTTTCTTTATAGAATGTATATTGTTAAACTGCTCAGTGATGATGAATTAGCATCTCAAAATCTGGTGAACATGAATTTGAAATCTTGCTTATTTTCGTTTAGGTGTCTTAAATAAATTTCTCCAAAGTCCAAGAGCCCCAAGGCCCAAGTCTTTGATTAGTATAATATAATTATTATTAATCAGCGCCAAATCCAAAGGTGAGCCTATAGCCAAGCCCATTACCCCAACTCTCCAATGTTAACCACACTTACCAAACCATCGTAGTGCTTTGTTTATAAAGACCTTTATAGGATTGTGGATTTTCGATGTGGGGTGTCCACAAAGGGCACCTCAAAAGAATATCTTCAAAGTATAGCCGCTCGGCTATACCCTTTAAGTAGCTCTCTTTTTAATTACTTTGATTAGTAGTTATGTTTTACTTGGTGAATATTTAAGGGAAACAGAAAAAGGAAAATTTGAATTACTATTTATTAAGTAATATAATTCATGAAGTCAATTAATAAATTTAATATTAATTATTCACTAAATAAATAATAATTGAAATATAATTACTAATTTCACTAATCAAATAAGGCAAATATATTATTTAATTACTAACAATAACAGCATAGACCTGTGCCAACGAAATTTCGTCGGGAGAAGTGTTCATGTATTTTATTTAATTTTTAATTTTTAAAATATAAAATTAGTTTCTTTACTTTTTCTTTTGGCCAATTTCCTTAATTTAATATATGAAATTAAGTAATATCTTATCCTTTTTGAATTACTTTAATTAGTAATTGTGTTTCAATTATTATTATTTTAGTGAATATTTAAATATGTTACTTATTTCATAAATTGCTCAATAAATAGTAATTAATTATTTTAAATTATTTTGTGCAATTTTCAACGCATGCCCGAGACATGCCTATTCAATGCATGCCCAAGAAGTGCCTATTCAACACATTCCCTAAAAGTGCCCATGACATGCCCAAGAAATTCCGAAGGCAGCTTGCTTCGACATCTGTCCACAACACAACCTGTGCACACCTTGCTTCGACATCTGTCATCAACGTGGCTATGGGAGGCTTGTCGAATAGGGTGCGCACATGTGCCATGACAAAAGCATCAAAGTAAAATTAACGAGTGAAAACACTTAAAAATTAAAAAAAAAAAAAAAAAAAAGGGAAATAGCTCAAAATGCCACCCTTTTGATAATTTTAACTGAAAATACCACCTCTCCCCAAAATTTTTGGAACTATCACCTATAAATATATATTTATTTTTCACTTATTGCACACATATCACTTTTGCTGAAGTTCTCTCTTAGCTCTCTCTTGGCTCTGTCTTACAGTTTAGGGGTTTCTCTGAAGTTGGTTTAGGGTTTATGGGTTTTTATGAAATTGGTTTAGGGTTTAGGGGTTTCTCTTAAATGGGTTATGGGTTTCTCTGAAATTGGTTTAGGGTTTAGGGGTTTCATTGAAATTGGTTTTGGGGTTTCTCTGAAATGTTCTTATTCTAATGATTCATTGTTTGAAACAGTGAATGAGTTTGTTCTTTGTGGATTGATGCTTGCACTGCTGTTGTTTTGATGTTGCTATTGATGTTGTATTGCTTTTTTTTTTTGCTGGTGTATTGCTAATTTAGTGATGTTGTATTGGCATTTTAGTGTTGTATTTCTAGTTTATTATGGTTCTTGTAGCAGTTATTAATTGGTATTTGGTGGCGTATGTCTTTATGACCATTGCAGTTGTAGCTCTCTTCTCTCTCTCTCTCTCTCTCTCTCTCTCTCTCTCTCTCTCTCTCTCTCTCTCGTGCAGTTGTATCCCTTTATCGCAGCTCTCTCTCGCTAGCGCTCTCTATTATGAATTGTCCCCATCTCTCTGTTTTGAATAGGGAAACCCCCCATTGACCCCATCTTTTAGGCATGTCTTCTAAATAACGTAACGTTGTAGCTGCTTGCAACCTTGAAACTTTACTCCATTGTCGACCTCCAATAGGTAGTCTTGATGGTTATTTTCTTCGTCTCTATTGGAGTTTGTGAAATTGGTTTTATTTTGATTGCTTGGGTTTCTATGAAATGAAATTGCTTTGGGTAATGTTTTTTGAATCTTCATGCTCATCCATCTGGGTTTTTACCAAATGCATTTAGATTGCTCTGGATATGTGAATCTTGAAACTTGGGATTTTCCATTTGATGTAGTAGATTTGTATAGTATGATTGTGATAAATCCTTGTTCAGTGCTGTGTTAATTGTTGTTGTGTTTCTGTTATATTGCTGTTGTATTGCCATTGTATTGTGGTTGTATTGCAGTGATTTGGTCGTGGCTTCAAATGTGTTAATGAAATGTTGTTTTGTCATGGTCAGAAATGGAGACAATTGTTATTCTGGAAGAGTAAAAGAAATATGTTGTCCAACAATTCACAAAATCTGAAGAATATAATCTTGAAATGGTTGCATGTTTCAACAAAGTCTCACCAAATTACAATTGGAGCGAAATTGATGTTACTGGTGTCTGGCAGGTGCTAATTATGGGTGGAGAGGGAATGGCTCATCATAGCCTCGTGCATGCCACAAGAAGGCCAAAGACATGGATCTTTTGATGGACCTCTAATAATTTTCATTTGCCAGGGTTTGTGCAGCTGAGTAAGGGTAAGTGCTTGTTCGCTTCATATTTTGGTGGGTGGTGATTTATTTTAAATGTCAAAATTGAAGGTTGTCTAAAATGGATGTCTGCGTATTGTATGTATATTGACCTAATATTGTCACCCTAGTGTTCTTATATCGCTACTTGTTTGTCTGTATATTGTGTGTATATTGACCTAATATTGCCACCCTATTGTATGTATTTTGTGTCAATTGGTACTCAGAAGTGTGCCACTTGTTTGTTTATTATGCGATTGTAGCCCTACATTGTCTATATATTGCACAACAACGACGAGCCACTGTTATACCTCCCTAAAGACAAATTATAGATCTGTTTATATATCGAGCTGTACGAAAAACCTCAACTAAACAATCTAAAGAATAAGTATGCTAACGACGACGGCAACTCCAAAACAAAAGCGAAATTTGAAAGTCGAAGCAGAAGTACATCCCTAGTGGTATTGATTAGACGTACTACCCAATTTCGTTTCACAAAATGAAAATTGATGCATATTCTTATTCCAAAATGAGTACAAGTTATTTGGCATGTCTATAAAATGGATACAATTTATCTGACATGTCTACAACATGGATACAAGTTATGTGCCATGTAAGGCAAGTAGTCACTGCCATCGACTGTACAATTTCCCAATATCACCATGTACAACATGGCCGCAGACCGCATAAATGATTTCACATTGCTACACAAAATAACTAAAGCAAATAGCTGTATCAAACTGGATGGATCACCATATAAAGCAGCTCCACCAGAGCTTCCATGTTTGCATATTCATATAAAGGATAAACTGAAATAATTAAATTATGACTGAATGGCCAAGTGTTAAGCGAAGACTGAATTCAATTGAGAAACATTATCACCTGTATCTCATATATATGCCTTCCCCCTCAAAGCCTCTATTTCAAGCTTTAGCCGGTAATAGGTGATCTTCGATGGGTTAACTTTATCCAAAGAAATGCCAGCACTGAGATGCTCGATGAATTTGACTGTCATTATTCCGCAAGAGGCACTGTCGGGCCAATAAGTTCATAAATTAGAACTACACTTATTTACAATCACTACTACAAAAAATGAAAAAGATGACTAAAAAAAGACGACGGTAGAAGAAAAAACCATCGTTGTATTTAAAAAGACGACGGTAACAAAAAACCGTCGTGGATAAGTGACTTAAACAACTAAAAAACGGAGTTACTGTTGAATATTTTTTTATAACGACGCACACAAATAAAAAAGCATCATCTTATTAAAAAGGTTTTCTTCATAGTTAAAATCTGACCAAAAAACAACGACAGCAGGTATAACAAGCATCGTCTTTTAAAAATCAAGTGTCATTCTTTTGGTAAAAACATGGTTGTTCTGAAAGAACTGTCGTCTATTATGAAGTAAAGACGACGTTTTTTTTTAAAAAGGGTCGTCTATTTTATGTAAAGCTGATAATTTGTTTAAAAAAAGGTCATCTATTATGAAGTAAAGATGACGGTTTTTTTTACAAATAAGTCGTCTATTATATGTAAAGATGTCGATTTTTATACAAACCGTCGTCTATTATATGTAAAGATGACGTTTTTTATATATAAAAAAACAGTCGTCTATTATATGTAAAGATGACACTTTTTATAAAATCGTCGTCTATTATATGTAAAGATGATGCTTTTCATACAAACCGCCGTCTATTATATGTGAAGACGACGATTTTTATACAAACCGTTGTCTATTATATATAAAGATGACGTTTTTTATACAAACCGTTGTCTATTATCTGTAAAGATGACATTTTTTATAAAACCGTCGTCTATTATATGTAAAGATAACGTTTTTTTTTTATAAAACCGTCGTCTATTATATTTAAAGATGACGATTTTTATACAAAATTTCGTCTATTATATGTAAAGATGATGCTTTTATAAAAACCGTCGTCTATTATGAAGTAAAGATGACGGTTTTTTTTTTTTTGAAAAATAGTCGTCTATTATATATAAAAATGACTCTTTCTATAAAAAAGGGTCGTCTATTATATGTAAAGATGATGGTTTGTTTAAAAAGGGTCGTCTATTATGAAGTAAAGATGGCAGTTTTTTTTGAAAAATAGTCGTCTATTATATGTAAAGATGACGCTTTTTATAATAATAAAAAAGTCGTCTATGATATGTAAAGATGGCAATTTTTTTTTTAAAAAATCATCAAAATCGGAGTTAAAATAACCGTTAAATCATGATTTTTCATTTATAACTGTTGAAATTTTTTGTCCCATTACTTGATCTCTGAATGTTTATTTTTTCCGATTTTTGGGGTATATAATCTCAAAGTATAAACAAACAAGTTTGACGGTTGGATCATTGAAACTAGTTTCTTA